GAATTTTTGAAGTACGTTCGTTGAAATAAAAGTCGTTGGAAGACATGGAAGAAGGGGTTACGCACCGTTTAAATTTAAGAATTTTTTTTTTTTTGAGATAAGATTATGTTTCATTAATTTGTATATGCTTCGTATTATACGTTGTTTGATTAATTTCTAAAAATGATGAACTAAATGTACAAAGGTACGAGGACATGGTCTTATCAAAACACCAGTATAGTATATTCTACCTAAAGCAAAATCTTTTAATTTTACGTTAAACTGTACAAGAGAGACTGGTACCTGTCGAAGCCGATTTTTCAATTTCTAAAACAAATGACAGCTATCTGAACTTGAGTAATTTTCTTGAGTAATTTTCAACTTCTTTCGTTAATTAAAAAACTCTCAGCTAGGTGCTGACAAAAAATTTCAAGTTGATTATTTTCTGAAGTATTCTATAGTATGTCACAATTTCTGAAACATCGATTCTTTAGACCTTATCAAAGAAATAGTACAATACTTAGACATTATCAAAGAAATAGTACAATGTCACAGAATCACGAAACAGAGTAACTTGATTTAGATCCGAAAGAAATTACGAAATTTTGCAGAGGAAAAAGAAAGAGAGAGAAAATCGAAAAAGAGGAACAAGTAGACAAAACGAGGACTGTTCTTCAATCGCATCTACGAAAACACGAGACACCGACCGCGACAACCGTTATACTAAACTAAAATATTTATTCAAGCGACAAACATCTCGAATATTTTCAAAGACAATTGCGCGTGAAGCTCGAAACGGGACACCCCGTGCAGAGGGAGCCTAACCCCACGGAAACTGGAACGCGTGTATCCAACGGGCCTGTTAATCCAGCCACGTCAAACAGCTGCGTGCTTTCCAAGTAAACTATACCCGGCCGCGTCGCGAGCCGCATTCGCATTCGCGTTTCACGTTCCACGCGTGTGCTGCTGCATCCACCGGCCGCCGCGTAGGCCACACGTCGCGGCTAGGTTATCGCCAGCCTAACCCCTCGCCCCGTTATAAATCTAATCGGATTTTAAAGCTCTGCGGCAGCACCGGTCATCCGATGCGTCGATTGTTACGACGTGGAAACACTGTCGCGATTACCATCCCCTCCAATAATAACCCGCCGCGGATTAAAGTGATCGCGGATTTTCAACGGAGGATCGTTGAAATGATCGATCCAGCCAACGGGAGGGAACTCTGGCTTAACCGGCTTTTAATAGGATTCCATTTCGTTAAATAATCGCCGTTTCTCGCCGGGTCTTTAAATTCGCGTTCTATGGTGGGATATATGTCGATGCGTTTAATAAGATTTAATTCGTTTCTAGCGATTCGTTGATTAGAAAACGTGATAATGACGTAGACGTTTATTTTTACCAGAGTTAACACTATACAGGTACTGTAATATAGACACCACGATTAGTGATTATCACGAAATAGTGATTAGCAACCGATAGGTGATTAGCACTCTCGCGTCATTTGCGATTACAATTCTAACGCATTAATATCACATCACACTGTCAGAGATGTGTTGAAAATTTTGTACACATTCTAACGAAGGTTTTTGCATTTAAAAAATTGCAGAATTTTTACATTTTTACATTTTCTATTTTGTTTGTATATGAAATGACAGCTCTTTGTACTATGCATTGTCAGAAACTTTAGCTTTCTTAAACCTGTTTGGCGCCATGAAAAGGGGATATTTATTGCAACATTTTAAAAGAAACGTCTTTGATAATTGTTTATGATCGTTCCAAGTATCTTTTCTGATGCACAAATACAGTATATTTTACTTTTCCGTGGGAAAAATTTTATAAACTACCCTTATGTTTAGAGAATTGTTTTAAATCTTATCACGTGAAAGGAAATTATCAAACGTACGTACGTGTTTAAAAATATAATTAAATATAATTATAATATATAATAAAATACTTAAATATAAAAAATATATATAATAAAATACTTAAATATAATAAAAATATATAATAAAAAATTAAGTATAATTAAATATATTTTGTTATTATTTATTTCAAGTTTTTAGTATACAAATGTTTAGAACCTCTTCGTGATAATACAATAGAGCTTTAATTTCTATCCTCATTCTGCATTACTTTCACCAAAAAAGTATCACTCGCTCATGCTCATGCAAAATATATCGTCAGTTTGTATAATAATAGAAGTAAATGCAAAATTTTATTGAGTGACTGAAATCCCCGCTATGTAGTACATAGCGAGCGTCAATCATTAGGCTAGTACCCAGCAATTATCAGACGTTAAATAACTATAGTTAAATAACACCACTCGTCTGAGAAAAGGTTAATCCTGTTCATTTGTGTTATTGATTTCGTGTCTTTTGTAAATCGTGTTACAAGTAGCAAGGAATATTAAAAATACATCTGAAACCTGTTCCGTTATTACAATGTCTAGGAATCACAAATAGCTGAAGATGTCCTGATGATCTTCGCAGATCATTGTCAAATTCCCCGAAAATTCCCTCCCGGAAAGTCCGTCGAAGGAACCAGCGTCACGTAACGTCCTTCAGCGGAGAGTTCGGGTCGAGATATCGCCGATGAGATCGGGATTGACCTACATAGATGGAAAATTATGGTGGTCGTCCGGAGCGACGCCGAGGGCAGAGCGCATTGCAATACGTACTCGTCTAACGTCGTGATCGTTGCGCGTCAGTGTTTGATCTTGGTTAGCCTTGATAATGCCCTCGTAAGTTCTCCGGGCCGCAGTCATATTTCCTCAGCGAGGAACGCATCCCTTCGGGGCAAGCCTTCCCGAACCGAGAGGCTGGCACGTCGTTAATCAACAGGCTTAGCAGAGACGCGGGCGGGAAAAATAAAAACTTCCGAGCTGAACGTTTGACAAGCGTTCGACACGAAGAAACGAGGACCTCGTAATCGAATCTAGATTACATCCATCCCTCCCCACAGTCCCACTCCGTGCATTATATCGTAATATAAGTTGACGTAGAAAGTAAGAAACCGTGTTGCCGATTTAACACGAGATTAAATTCCTCCACGTCTTCTTCCGTTCGCTGCCGGCTCTCAATCGGACAGAAGCTGAACTTCAATCAATTTCTGCTCTAACAAGCCAGGAATTTCGCGTTTCTCGTTGCTCATCGGTGTTTGCGATCTCGCAGCGAAAGATTTGAAAGAGAGAGAATGACCTCTCCGCGGAACGACAAAATAAATCGAAACGGGGTAACAAACCATCGGCCGTCGTGCTAAACAGCCCAACGTGTAACAAACGCGGCCACTCTCATAAATTCGGCCGGTGTTTCCCGAAGTAGGTAATGCCCGGAAACGATTCGCCGTTGTTATCGTAATCTTCCATCGCAATTACGCCCCGATATTTGCCCGAAAACAATGCAAATGCGTTATGCGCGTATGCACACGGATAAATTGTAAGAGAAATAAGTTAAGCGCGGCGTGTGTGTGTCCGCGCGCGCGTTATGACCAATTCGTTTCGCTATACGTAACTGCAATGCGGTTTTCCCCTCGTCGACGGCTAAAGTGCATAATCAGGGGAAATGTATACGTGTAATCAATGAAATTGCCAGATAATATAATTGACGTTGCTCGGCAATACGGTGTGTGCACGCTTAATAAAAAACACGCGCCACGTGGCTGTTCGCCGACTGCGAATGTGTGCCGGTACATCAATTTTAACGCGAGCGTTCGAGACACCGAGAGAGAAAAGATCGCGACTACGCGAGCATTCCGTGTAATAAGTGGCGTCAGTTCGATGATTTAGATGTAAATCGGTGTAGATCTACGCCAGTGTAGATCGACCAATACCGCGCGGACATCCTTTAAAATTTAATGCTTAAACAAATGAGTCGAATCGAGCACGTAATATAATATAATATAGAATCGCCGCATAATGTATTGATGCACAATTTATTGTAGGATTTACGTGTCGGTCAATTAGCTGCGAGTATATTGAACTTCGTACCATTTTGCAGTACTTTCATACCATTGCACAAATATAGAATCTGATACAAACGCTTGCTCGCAGTTGGAAAATTAAGGATACCGCGCGTAATACCTTTTCGTAATTACTGTGTGTTTGAACTCGGGAGGAGAGAAATATTGAAACATTGTCGTTATTATTCGATATTACTATAGACGCCCTAAATATAACCGAGCGTTAAAAAATTCGAGCATAGATATTCGAAGCGCGTAAACACCGGCAATATTTTATAATTCCATATTCCACACGATACGACCTTTACGATGCTAATATTTACCATATCGAACCACTCGATACCGGAAGCTTGTAAAAAGTAAAAATTTACAGTACACGGGTTACGAGAAGGTTCAACACGAGAAGCGAGAGGAGGCGGCGTTTATTAAAATCAATCACGAGAAGAGGACATGTACTCGTCCCTCGTTACACACTCGACCCTCAACTGCGAACGGTATAAAATACCGAGTAGTAGTGGCGCTCCTCGCAATTTAACAGCATTTGAAATATCGCGGATGGCGTGGCGGGATATTAAGAACGTTGCCAACAATTTCACGGTCCATTGTGCCAGAAGACAGTCGAAGAGAACGCCGTAGCGCGTATCGACTCTCCCTGTACATTTCTCGCTGAGAAATCATCCGCGATATAACGCGTTGCTTTATCGAGCCGCGTCGTGTCGTTCGACGTGAAAATAGGCCGAGCTCGTTACCCATCCACGACAAATTGCTATCATTTAACGTTGCTAAAAGATCCCTGCTGGAACTGCAAAACTCTCTCTCTCTCTCTCTCTCTCTCTCTCTCTCTCTCTCTCGTCATTTCTGTTCCACTCGTGTCTCGTGAGTATACAGACCGAGGGCGAACGAGTGGAATCGCGCCAAAAAAGTTTCCAGCAACTCGAGTGCCTCGCTCGATTCGAAGAACACGAGGAGAAAACATCACGTGCCGCTGACTCTGCCGCTGGTAACCGACTCGCGACACTGCTCGTTGAGAAAAACAATCCGGAAAAACGGCAACTTCGACTCACCCTGATTCCTCTGTGACTCCTGCCTGGCCGACCTTCAGGTAGCTCGCCGATGAATGGAGCATCGGGAGGGAGACGGGCCGGTGTCGCGATACCACGTTTCCGGATCGTTCCAATCTGAAATCAGAAAACCACGACGTGTGTAATTGGTGTTCTAAATTGAATAATTACAATGTAACTGGCGTTCTAAATTAAACAGTGTTAACTTCTTGCGCTGGAATGACGTGCCACGCACGTCGAGAATTTTTTGTCCCAACATTTTCTTAATTTTAAGTATATTTAAATATTAAAGGCAAGTATATTTAAATGTAACCCAGGCAAAACAAATGATAAATTTATTACGTCTTATCGTTTCTATCCAGTGATATCATACCGACGAGTTCAAAAGAAAGAGAAAGCGACGAATTATTGTGTACGGTTCGGTCACTCGTTATGGTCCGCAATCAGTTGCCAGCGCAGCGGACTAATGTAAATGTTCTAAATTAGAGCCGGCTAACTGGCGACCTGCCCCCACTTTCCTGATCGCTAGCGCTACCCCCTCCACTACATTGAAATTTCCTCGCCGTGCATGAGCTGCCCCACTCTCTCTTTGTCCGATGACTTCCCTACCAAGCAAGAGAGCCCGCGAACCGCCAGTTAGCCGGCTTTGTTCCAAATTAAATCGAGCGACGCTGATCGACTTGAACAATTTAAAACACCAATTAATGACACGATTAAAATAACGTACGCGTGTACACGCAGGTTTGTAACGGAATTTCGCTGAGCGAAATTCTCTTGTCGGAGCTGATTTTGATTTATGACTACGTTATTGGTTGTTAGTTAAAGTACCACTCTAACGTTCAAGAACGACTCTATCGCTCGAAGTGAACAGAAGCGAGCAGTTCCAACGAAATTTAAAAGACTGACGTAATATCAAAAATAATTCTCCAATTTCTCTGGATACGCCTGTACGCTTTACAAGTATGAACATGCAAATATATTTATCAGAGAAATTTTGCTCCAAACATGGAGAAAACAGGATCACGTTCGAATGGCGATCCTCGGTCATGTTCAAGGAGCTGCACAGTCGCAGCATTTTGGAACTAGAGTTTCTGGTCGGAGTATCACGTATCCGGATATTCCGATTCCCGTCGATACAGCAATATACTTGCCTGGTTACAATTTCTGATCGGCTTATATACCCACAGACGCCGACCGCTCCGAGACCGACAACGTTGCGAGCAAAAGGCCGTGCAATTGTCTCTCACCTATTACCCTGCGAGTGGTGCAATCATCACTGGTGAAATTCCAGATCTCTGCAAGCCTGATGGTCTTTCGTTTCGACCACCTACCCCTACCCCCCGTTTTATTCTCGTTTCCTCGTCACTCGTGTATAAATCACGTCACGCGGTCTCGGAAACGTTTCAAACGCGTGGAATACACGTACAAGGTACGCCAGGTACACTCCATTTTCGACGATGTACGTTTTATCGCCTCGCGGTCCAGCGAACCTGAGAGCTCTGATCCGCCGCCACCGCGCGAGAAGGGAAGCCGAGAGTTTGAAAACCGGTCGACTGGCTCGAGTATTACTCATGATTCAACGACGCCGTCCCGCGATAGAACTATAAATTACAGTTACTTTGCTTCGAAAACCGGAAACACCCGGTCCGTTCCTCCATGGCCACGTATCCTACAAATCGTCTTTCGCTTCCTTTTCTCTTCGATTGTGTCAGGAATTCTGTAAATGTAGATCAAATGCGTTCCACGAGCCACGTTGAAAGTGGTAATTTAAATCTCGCGGACAGCCGAGCGTATATTTTGCAAAATGTACCAAATGTCTTCGAATTCTTCCGTTCTTTGTTGTTCTCGCTGTTAGCGCAAGAATATTGAACGTTCTTGGGCTCTGAACCACGATTTAGTTGAACGTCGCATTCTTTTGAATGTTTCCGATTAACCCTTTGCGCTGGCAATCGATTGCTGACCATAACGAGCGACCAAATATCGTAATACAATAATTCGTCGCTTTCTCTTTGAACTCATCGGTATGATAGCACTGGATAGAAATTATTGAGAAGTAATAAATTTATTATTTGTTTCGCCTGGGTTATACTTAAATATATTATATACGTCATTCCAGCGCAAGAGGTTAACGTTTGGGAAATCGGAACTTAGAAACATCACGAAGATCGAGATTAACCGGCAAGTCTGTTATGTTTGTTGTCATCGATCGTCTTATCGATGCTTTAATCTACCGTTTCCAGATGACCTATAGCAGAGCAATTAAACAACTCGTCTTTTAAATGTGATTGGCTAGATTGAACCAGCGCTGTTTTAAGGAGAAGCGGTTTAATTCTCACGTTAGAAACGGTTTTCATTCTTGTTAGGCTCGGTTCTGGGAAAAATTAAGATTATAAATCTCCTGAAACTTTCAACTTGTACAGTTTCCATGTCTAATTATTAATAAATGTGATTCTACAAGATATTCGCAAACAAAGTTCATTCGTGCGTTCAATTACCATTCTCAAGTTCAGTTGGACAAGACACATTCGACAGTCCAGTGCTGCAATAATGAACCCATCGCAGAATACCTAGTTCCAGTCGTTGTTGCAACGACAATCGCAATTCTGCATAATTTATATCAGCGTTTTGAAACGCAATCTCGTGATCCGAAATCCTCTAGCGAATCTAGATCTACCTTGTTGCGAGTACGGGGGAGGCGCGTCTTCAGCGCCTGATAAGAGCGTAGGGATCATCCGAACCGAACGGAACCTGCCGAATCGTATCATTCTGTCGCCGGTCTAAACCACGAGGCATTTCGAAAGCCAGAGTATCCAACAGACCAGTCGACTGTCCATCGGTGCAGCAAACCCTTGTTACTGCGAATCAACGTCACCGGCCAGGCCACGGGGAAGTTATCGATATTCGCAGGTGCGAGCGGATCGCTGATAATCCCCTCGGCAAAGCCGCCTCATCCTGGATCACGAGGAAAATGCCAGGAGCTGGCGGCGCCGGGTCGAAGTCCGGGGAACCGGTGCATTTACGTTTCCGCAGGAGGATGGCCAGGTCCGCGTAGCTGCGCGCGACACGAGAATGGCGGGCATCGACATAGCAAAATTCCGCGGCGGACTGTCCTGGTCGAGGAGCGGCCCGTTCGCTTCCAAAGCGCCACCAATCACGCTGATGAACCCCGACACGACAGAAGGCCACGCGTGTGCGAGCGCGTAGCAGCCAGCAGCTTGTCCGTCCTTGCCAACTTTCTGCCTTCGATCGTTCGATCTCGCTCGTCGTCGATGACCGACACCGCTAATTGTCGTCGCTGCAACCCACACACCCTCCCACCTGACGATCGATATCCACGATATCCGCAAACAAAGAGGCACGTTTACTACGACTCTTCCGTGACTCTTCTTCCCTTTTTCATTCTCCACTCCACTCGTGTTTTTCCCTTTTTGTTTTCCCTCTTTGTTTCTCTTTTTTTTCTTTTTTTTTTTTTTTTGAATTTTTTATTTGCACTACTCTCTGCTAGGGGGCTAGTTACTCTACGATTGATCCACTCTGTCCCGATCGTCGATTCCATGACTGTTTGCGCAACGTGCGCCACGAACTGATTCACTCGGCCTCGTACGGCCCGTGAGAAGGGACGTGACCCCGCAAAACTGCTTGCCTCGCCAAATTCCATTACCTTTCTACGCCGTAATCTGCCGACGGAACTTTCTCTTGATTCGAGCTACACAGTCGGGTGTCACGTAAGGCTATTGTTGAGGTCGACGCCTCATCCGAAGATTCTGACCCCAGGGACATTGTATGTCTGTGTGTATGTATTCTCGACGAATACGAAGCGAAGAAACGGAGGAATCTGAATCGAGATTTTCGTTCCGTCTATTACAAAATTATTGTGGAATTTGCTCGTTGCTCGGAATTTGTTTCTGTGCGTCTGTTTAAAATAAAAACGAATGTTTAAAATAAAACTTTAATTTTACCTTTAAATATATCTTCTTTTAATCCTTACTCTTGAATTACATTTAATTATAAGAATAAGAATCTTTAATTCTTAAACAGCGATACACACTTCGGGAATCATTTTGCTCAATAATTGAGGTGAAATTGTAGTCCTAAATTTTGAGTCTTCGTAACTCTTTCCTACTGCTAAAAACTTTAGTGTTGCAAATAGTCTCTCCTGCACTAACGGCGCCTGCACCTTTCAATCTTTGAGTGAATTTTGCTCAAAGGATAATAAAAAAGCAGAGTCATCCATAGGCAGATAATTTCTATAATCACTAGGTTCATTTGTCTTCAGCTCTTTTGATAATTGGAAAATCTATTTCTCTGGATTAACAATTTTTAACTCATTTTTTTTTTTTTTTTAATATAATTAACCTCCTATTATTAACAGTAATATTGGAGCTGATGATTCGACATTTTAAAACACGTTTGCAAACAAGGGTATATTTTTATATTTTTTCCTACACCTTCTAATTTCTCGAATATTAATAAATTATTTATTACAAACCACGTGAGTCTAAATTTTACGTTTTCTCTCCAGGATATTAATATTTTTGAATACTGCGAGCCGTGTCAAATTGCAATATTTTCTCAGTTTTAAGTATATTTAGACGTAACGCTAGGCAAAACAAATGATAAGTTTATTACTTCTTAGTAATTTCTATCCAATGATATCATACCGACGAGTTCAAAAGAAAAAGAGAGCGACAAATTATTGTATACGGTTCGGTCGCTCGTTATGGTCTGCGAACCAGGTGCCAGCGCAAGTGGTTAAAGTTGACGCCTATTCTGACGCAAGGGCTGCGCATTCCGCACACGGACATTCAGTATGTGGACATTCTACATACTGTGAGTACGTTTCGTAACTTCGGGTCAAAACGAGCGAAAACGATCGCGAAAGTTGCAAGACGAGAGAAGATGGATCCAATTGGTTATCCAGTTACTCGACTCGAGTAATGAAGATCTAGATAAGAGGCAGATATCGGAAGATAAGTGGAAAGTTGGAACAGGATGATATCGCAAGAGAGATTGCCTGTCTTGCAATTACTCGGCTTCGACGTGTGCCTCCCCGAATACGGAATAAAACCGCATCGTTAAGGGTTGAAATGCTCGGTAATTGCTCTCGAGTTAGCAGC